CTCTATAAAAAAAACAAGGGGCAAGCATGTAATATGTACAAGTTAGTAACTAAAATCACTTTTATAGTGATTCTGGTAGATGTCAATTCAATAATTCATGGCTAGTTTGGAAAATTGAACGCCAAATAATCACGTACCACTCAGCTACACTTGTGAAAGTTACTATAGGCAGAATTTTTATATACAGAAATAGAAAATAAAAGGCTTAGAAGGGAATGTGCAGTGTAACCTCCGGTTCAGTGTTCTAAAATGCTCGAAAATGCGCCGCCTAGGCGCGACGCGCGTTGAAAACGTATCGCATTTGTGATATGCGCATAAAAATGCGGTCAACATAAGCATTTGTGATATGCGCATAAAAATGCGGTCAACATTTTTTGTTGACCGCCTAGGCGTATCAATGCACGATTAGGCGTCTTGATTCTCGATTAGGCGCGTTCATGCGCTCATTAGGCTCGCATTAGGGAACCCACCAGTCCAATTACAAACTTGAAGACTCGGCCCAACCAAAAGACCCAGCTTAAAACCCACCAGTTCAATTTTTTCCTTTTTCATTCCCAACTCCCAAGTCAGAACTCGTGGAACTCCTCCAGTCATCCTCCAGTCCTCCGTTCTCTGCTTCACCTTCACCTCCAAATCCATGGCTGCCCAACCAAGTAGATGTGAAATGTGATACTCGCCTTCACGGTTTCAGCACATTGATATTATCTGCCATTTGTGGTCTTCTTCTGCCGGTTCAGAACNCCTCCAAATCCATGGCTGCCCAACCGAGTACTTGTGAAATGTGATACTCGCCTTCACGGTTTCAGCACATTGATATTATATGCCATTTGTGCTCTTCTTCGGCCGGTTCAGAACTCGAAAAAGTTGGTTTTCGATTTTTCCCTTCTTTGACTGTGTTGGGTTTTCGATTTTGCCCTTTCTTTCACTGTTTTGGGTTTTCAATTTTGGTATAAACCCTTTCGAAAATGGCTGTGTGGTATCGGATGGCAAGATCGACCCCTTCTCTCGATATCCGCTTGGAGATTTAGGAGGTGAAATCTTTACAGATTCACCGTGTTCTTTTTTCTTCAATTAGCTGTTTCTTCCTTGTTCATCCGTTGTTCATTTGCAGCATGAAACTTGATCTTATCCTAAGTAGAATTCTATAGTATTCAGTAATAATTGTTTAATAAATCTTGCGACTTCTTCATTCTGTCGAATTATTGTTTAATAAATCTTGGCACTTTAGCTTTGGATCAAAAGCATTTTTGCCAAGTTGCCATCTTAATTGGATTGGTGGCTCGGAGTAGATAGATAAGGGAGAGTGATGGGGTGGTCTGTTTACAGGTCTGGCTCTGGCCAGGAACTGTAAATCTTGACCATGTATTTTATCAGTTTGTAACTGTAAGTTCATTCTTTCTTTCTTCTATCTTTATGAAATGACTTACACGTTACATCTGTCTATAACTATATATAATAGCTTCCATATATTTTTGTAGGATGTAATGGAGCAAAATGATTCTTCAATGGCCTCTAATTCTAGATTTGAAGATGGTGATTTGAAAAAAGGTTCTAGGGACATTAGATGGGAAACTGGAATTCTTGAATATCCTACTAAACCTAATAATGTGAAAT